GGGGGTTGTTGTAGTTGTTGTCGATTAGATCAACTTACATAACACCCCCATCCTCCTCCATGAAAAAATAACAAAAACAAAAACCCCAAAAAACGAATAAACAAACAAACAAACTATCTCTTATCGGTATAATGAATTAAATCAACATAAATACGCAAACAAACATAGGTCTATGTATAATATGAAACAGTATGGGCGTAACACCTTTTTCAGCATTTTCAGGTCAGCTGTTCACTCTATATCTAACGTCCAAATTCCGATAGGTCTGAGACCAATAGGACTTTAGAGTTTTTAGTAATGTAGAGCTTGGAAACTCCACAACACAACCGAAGTTCTGGAATGCTCTTTTAGGGACTCGAACCAAGGTATGGGACTTCCAAATGCCAGGGTAGGGCCCTTCCAACTGAGCTAAAAGGCAAACAATGTATGATACTCACCTAGCACAAAAGTAGGAAGCTATCAGTCACAACACAATAACAATTAATCACTGCAGGTTCAGAACTAAAACAAGGCTTACAATCAATTCAATCATTAATACGACAAGACATGAAGATCACTCAAAAGAACCGGCGTACGACGTTCTATAACAACCATAATAATCAATCGTATTACAGAAATGTAAAACTCAAACACATAACAAAAGGACATATAATAATACATCTAAATACAACTCACATTGGCAGAAACTAGTAGGTCTACATTAGTACATGGATATCATATGAATATTGGCTTGTCTGATTGGATTAATGAGCGAGAGGCTAACATTGTATTTTATAAAATGATTTACATCGAGCCCCACATTGTAAAGAGGCTATTAGTTTTAGTAAGTGTTTTACGGAACTTGCAACACGATAAGGTCATATAAGTGCCGAAGATTAGAGCGGTTACAAGAGAGTAACAAACACAAAAAAAGAAGGAGGGGAGATAAAGACGATAGATGTTTGATAGGAAAGAAGAAGAAAACCACACCAGAGCACCCGCCAACCACCCATAAAGTGGCTATGAACAGGGCTGTGAGAAACAAAGATAATAATAATAATAATAATATGATCATTTGAAATCTATTTATAGCATTTTCAAAATAGGCAAACAACCTAACAAATAATAATATTGTCACTGGAATAGGAATTTTAAAAGAAAATGCATGTAATTACAGGAAAGAAAAAGTATGTGAAATCGTAAACAAACTATTAGGCCTACCTAACGAATCGAACAAAAACCATACATGACGCACAACTGATAGCATTACCCCGTGAAAATCTTCATTGGCAAACGTACGTTATGGTTCAAAAGAGGGTGTGGTGGCGGAGCGGTTAGTGCGCTCGTCTTCGAAGCGGAAAGTCCAGGTTCGAGCCTCAGTTTGGACACGGATTTTTTTCGCCCCCTCCTGCCCACCCAGCAGTAAGTAATGGGTACCTAACTTTGAGTTGGGGAAGTAAACGAGGCGTGGAAAGGAACTGGCCACCCTACCACAATATGTCGAAGGCTCAGGAAGTTAGGAAGTTGTCTCACTAACAAGGCAATCCCCAATGTCCGGATCGGATGCGGGAACAACTTAAAAAATGGTTGAAAACTTGGCGTAAATTGTTTATAGTCTGGCATGTTGATGGAATTTTTTTTCCCCGAATTCGAGCAAGATCATTAACTTCATGCGAGAAAGCTTTCCGCTGCAACTTAATTAAAGAGCATGGATAAGCGTTGGAAACACAATAATACACGCCTGTTCAAATAAATTATGTTAAAAACTGATGACTTCTGCCGTCAATCGACCCCCCTCCCCACACACACATCCTTTCCTACT